ACCTAATCTCTGTCAAGTCATAGTTCTTTGACATGTTTTCAATTCTCCTACATCAAGTGATTTAGTGTGCCATTCTTTTTTTTAATGCCTTTTTGCAGTTGGCATTCAAGCCGTAACGCATTTCCTTACCTACACTTTTCAAATGCAATTCCACGTATATGTCTCAGTACATTTTCGTACAAAACGAAACCTGACAGCCCTAAGCCAATGCCACAATCTTTCACACGTCAAACACCTCGAGCTATGCAAAAAAAAGAAGAAAAAAAAGACATTTCCTTCCAGGAACACATACACAGAGCAGACCCAAAGGGCAACGCTTTGGAAAATTTAAATGAAAATCGTGTTGATGCGGAAAATGCACTAAGAGTGAGAGCAGCGAGAGAGAGAGAGAGATAGATAGAGTGACAGAGAGAGAGAGAGGTCGAGAAAACAAAATCTAATAAAATGCGCATTATTGCGAATTCGTTATGGGGCCAGCTCGTTGCTGGCAGCTCCAACTGTTGGACTCTTTGGCGTCTTTGGAGAGTTGGATGCAATTATGTGAAGCGATGTTGCGGCCTTCACCTCAGAGCCGATGATCGGGTTGCCAGTGTTGAAAAGTGACGACAGATGGCTGCTACGATCGTTGAGATTGTGTGTGTGTGTGTGTGTGTGCGTTTGTGTGTGTGTATGTGTGAACGTGTGGAATTTGCGCAATTTGTGTAGTGACTTATGTGTATGCCCCACCAACAGCAACAGCGAGGGGCAACTCGTTGTGTGTGTGTGTGTGGCAACAACAACAGTAATCAAAACTTTGTTGTTGCCTCTCTCCCCAGCACAAAGTAAACAAAAGTTAGCCGCAGTCTGCACTTTCCGCCACGCCCCGCTTTGCCCTACCTCCCCCATTCCACTATATATCTCACTCTCTCTGTGGTTCCATGTAAAAAGCCGGTTGTTTGTTATTAGTTGGCCTTCCATACAATGCTGACCATATGCGCGTCTCTGCGTCTCTCTTCACTCTGCACTCTGCCCTGTCCCCTCTCCCCGCTCGCTACTTCTCTCTCCTAGCCATGTTGCGTTTGTTGGCCTCTCTCGCTGAAAGTTCACTGCACCGCGGTCTGCATCTCGTTGTCCGTCCGTCGATCACAATCAGTTTACGCTTCGCACACTAAATTGAATGAACAGCCATTGATCAGCTTTAACTTGCAACGTTCCGTCTCGTGCCCCTCTTTCTCGTTGTGTGGTGCCTGACTGCTTGCTTTGCCGCCTGTCTGTCATTTAATATTGTTTGTTGATCTCGTGTCTATTTTTTCTGATGTTGTCCAACACTAGCAACAAGGCACACTTCAGTTCGTTACACTCGCTGTAACAGCTGCTGGCCCTTGCAATAGCTAATAGCCAATTTCCGCTTTGGTCAACCAGTATGTGCTATTTATATAACTTAAGGTATCAGTCTTTAACGTACTCTTTATCAGTTGACACTCTTTGATAAACGCTTTGCGGAACTGACCACCTTGTGCACTTGAAATTGTTAACGTTTTTGGGAGATAAGTTAACTATATTGTCTCAGTCAACAATGATGAATCGATTTTGTATTTTAGCTTCGGGAATTTGTTTTTTCAAAGAATTTTATTGTTTTGAAATAGTTTTCTTAGATTACAAACTTGACTTTTGCACATAGCTCAATGCATATTTGTGCCTATAAAAGAGTTTATATATTCTTGGAGATTAAACAGACTTATGATAAACTGACTTACTCTATAAATATACTACATATATAATCAGAAAACCATCCAATTAGATTAGATTCAAGTGCAAATCAATTAAAATAACAAAAAAAATATGATTATCAGAATGCAATGGTCGAAACCCAGCTGCTATCTGTGATACGACTAGGAAACGTTGTATATCAATTTAAAAAGATAGACATGGTTAGATCAACTTGGTCAAGAATATATCTGTCTACTGGCTTTTACATTCTTTTATAAAATAGTATATTTTTTCTATCTTAATGGCTTACGGCATACGGCATAAAAGCAAACAAGATGGAATAATTGCTGTCAATATTTATGACGGGGCTTTTACAGTTTTCATTTTGCCCACTTCATAAATAAGAAAACTGACCCCAAATCTTGTCAGAGCCCAAAAAGAAACAAACACTAATTGTAAAGCGAGCAATAAACAACACTAATATGAAAGCAGACGGCAATTATTGAACACTGACTGCACTTGTCATTCACTGATTCAATGTTGTTCCTCGACGATTCTTCCAATACTGCAACAGAGTTTCTTTGTAACAAATTTGACTTGAGCGGTTGCGATGGTTTATTTGCTTTTCGAGTGTGCATTGTGCATTGATTTGCTTTTCCTCTAAGAAACTTTCAAGTTGTCAACATCGATTGTTTGTTTGTTGTTACTGTTTGCTGTTGCTGTTTACCTCAAGCATAATTAGTAATACTGTCACGATGCCATTCTTTAGGCTTTGTAATCATTTTGTGTGTTGATTTTGATTTTGTATTTCTTTTGAAATTTGTATTCGCGTCGTTGATAATGTCAACGCTCTTTGATTAACTTTTCATTTAGACAACACTAGTTTTTTCTTTTTTTTTAATAGGTATAGGTGTATATATATATATATATATATACATATATATCCGAACATTCTATAGCGTATTCTTTGGCGCATTGCATATTTCTGGTGAAATGTACGCGGTCTTTATGTATTTTTGATGAATGAAGAAAGTGGCCGAACGCAGCCGCGTGACCATATACCCAAAATGCCATAAAGACTTTACTCCGTCCCGTGCCGGCAACCACCCCTCTCTCCTAGTAGTAGTAGTAGTCTAAAGAATAGAGTTGAAGAACTGGCCGAAGGTCTAGGCCTGGGCCAATGCGCCTCACACACGTCTCATACACACACACACACACATACGTGTCATTGAACAGTTTAACTGGGTTAGTAGTAGAAAGTTGTGACAATGCCATGTTTGTGTGTGCTTTTTGGCAATTACTGTGATTTGCTGTTATGGAAAGTGTTCTTGAGTGTTGTGAAGCGTAAACAGCTGTTTTGGAGCCACTGCTTTTGGATTAGTGCTGCGTCATGTGTGTGATTACTACGCCTACTGTTTTTCAGTTTGAAAAGGGTCTGTTTACTGTTGATACACTTATAAAATCATTCTGCTTGTTAAGCAGTACATGCGCTTCTTATCATTTAAATGATCATCTTTAGTTTTGGTATAAAATTTAAAAATAATTTAGCATACTCTAGTCGGGACAGTTCAATTAGGAGGTTAGAAGACCCCAACAAACTTAATAATAGTAGTTTATTCAATATGGAAATACTTTTTGGTTGACAACCTCTGCGCTTTCGATCTTAGCGAAATTTGTACAGTTTATATTAATATATCTGGCTTTATTATAGATAGATTAATTGCTATCGGCAATTGATTTGTATTAATATTCGCGAAACGGTTATTGATAAAATGACATAAAATTAATCTGCGTGTGGTATACGAGAACATCTATACCAAATTTGGAGCCTCTAGCTCTTATAGTCTCTAAGAGGAGCCCTCTATGGATCATCGCAGTCTTTTAGACTTCGTTGAAGATTTTTGATGAGCAATTAAATCAATGATCCCTCAGTTTCTGTGGAAAAGTAGGGAGTTTGGCATGTTTTGATGTTGAAATAGAAACGACAATCATCATTTAAATGATGATTCTCGCCTTTCATCTTGTGAACAAATTTTAATCACTTTGCTTTCGTTAAATGTATTTTGGCGTCTAAATTGCAAAGTTATGAGCATTTACTGCGAATTGCGAATGCGAATGGCAATTGAAATAAATTGCACAAGCTTGTGAATCTTTGGGGCGGCTTTCTAGATAAACCGTCGTCGAGTTCTGGCAATTGAGACAATTTGCCGTACGTTTGGATACAAGATACAAGATACAAGATTCAAAGTGATCCATCCGGACGTGCTTCTTGCGCTTTTGGCGCCATGCGGGCAATAAAATGTTTATTTTTGCACCCCGAAATGATGACGACCAAGTTGCTTAATTGAAACAGCAAATGTGCGAGGCCCCCAAATAAATAAAAACAAAACACCAAACAACAACAACAAGAAAGAGTGCTCTCGACTCGCAGATACCGTGTATCAGGTTTTCAGGTGTCACAAGTAAAAATAGTTGGATTCTGTCTCCCCTTGCTTAACTTAACAAACCCTCTTTGTAGAAAAATACTACAAGGCATGAAATCTAAACTGTGCAGATTTGTCAAGAATTTGGCCAGCGGGCAAATGATGTCCGCGTCAAAACAATACAATTAAATACCATACAAAACGATCTTCAACAAAATGTGCCTCATCAATTTTAATGTCGGTGAACCGTATGAAAGTTTCAATCATTAATTTCTTGTGCTGTTGGCTTTTATTACACTTGGCAGGCAGGCAGCATATTCTATATACTCGTATTTCTATGCTCTGCCTGCATATTTCTTTTCTATAATTTCTGAGTAATTCTTTTTTTCTGTTTTGAGCTGTCAAATCGAGAAAAAAAATAGCAACATTTGTGACTATTTTTATGCCGAGTGCTGCCTGGCTGATGCGGAGGAATTTCACTTGGCTGAGAATATAGAGATTAGAACGCTGAGCGGGGGTGCCTCTGGGCGAGCTGACGGATTGTGGTTGAGTCTCTGCCATTTTTGCTTCACTATTTGTATTGAATTAAACCTCATTGTGAATAAGATAAATTAATTAGCTTGCAAATACAAGTTTAGTTCAAATGAGTTCATCGTAACTTTCCTTCTTAATTGTTATACCCTGAACCTATTAAAAGTGCGCTCTCGATAAGGCATTCTAACTTGCGTTTATTTCTTGTGGCCTTAAGCTGTATAAAAGCCATATGGAAAACTACACAAAAGAAAAATATAAATGCAATAAAATTGCAGCAATATTTTTTTTAACGATTATTTGAAAAGTTATTCTAAACTGTAATCAATATTTAATAGCTCATCTCTTTCTTTGCAGGCCTAGCTCATTTTTCTTCAAACTCCTTTTTTTTAATGGTAAGTCTAATGTGTAAATGATTTTTAATAGTATTTGTGTTATTACTTACACACACACATATCATCGTTTGGAATTTCACCTAAAGACCACACCCAGCTATTTATTGGCAATTGATTTTTAATTCGTTTATTAACACTGCATTGAATATCAAGTTGAATTATTGATGGCTAAAGAAAGTTTCAATTATCAGTGTAATGGGTTTGTAATAAAATCGAAGAAATTGCAATTTTGTCTAGTTTTTTTTTTTTATCACGAAATCAAGCAAAAATGTTTGATTTATATTCATTTGTCAAGTAACAGTGTATCTCCCAGTCGAACAGATGCTTATTTTTATTACCAATAAATCAGTGCATCAGCTTTTAAACTTTTATGAGCTCCAATTTCGATTGCAATACTCTATTTTATAGTTCGATTTTTATGGTCTAGCGCCGGTTCAAAGTGCACACAACGTGCATAAAAATTCTAATATTTCTGTGGGCATTGAAAAATATTTTTTATTTGTGGCTTTGCATATCAAATGTGAAGCAGAGCATACAATTTAAATTAGTTGAAATGGTATAAAAACGAGAATTCGGTTCGAAACATAATTAGCCGGGCCACAACGAAAATAAAATGCAAATGGTTGGAATAAAAAGCTTTTCTGTTGATTCTTTACTCAATGCTTTATGGTCGGCGGGGACCCAGTTAAATGCCCAGACAGACCGACATTCTGACACCCAAACAAAACAAAGTCCAAAAATGTTGCGCCCCAAAATGGAGCATACCAAATCCAAAAATGAAAAAATCAAGAACAAAAAGTTCGGCAAAGCTGCCAACAAAATAAAATCATTTTAAGGAGAAGAAAAGACGCGACACGTTCCACACTGCAATGGAAATTGAGTTATATGCGCTTCTACACAGAGACATACATATACACAATGAGTATATGTATATATATATATATATATATATATATATGTATATATATGCATATATGTATATTTTTTTATATATGGTATAGAAGCAAACAACGCTAAAAATGCGCCACAAAAATAGAGCAAGGCATGTAGAAATGAAAGAAATTAGATGAAAATAGGCGCTATACATATATATATATATATATAAATAAATATATGTATATATATATAATGATATATATATATATGTATATACACACACACGCACTTGCATCGGAGATATTTGTGCTAAATTTGTGTCGTCGTCGTCTTCTATATGCTGAGGGTTCCATCCTCTGGCGCGCGTTGGCAGACAGGAATTCAATGCTCAGGGAAAATGGGCAAGAAACGAAGCTGCAGCATTGGGAAAAATGCTTTTTTTGTAAACTTTTTTGTTTTGGGATTTTTGCTCTATTATTTTTTTTTTGGTTTTCGTGATTTTTTTCGGGGACATTTGGGACAAATTAATTTATGGCGCTATGCGTTGAGCTTTTTTTTTGAAATTTTTTTTTCTTTTAATTGGAATTCGTCGGCGTTGTAAATTGGCGCCTAAGCATTTGCAAAGTTATTCGAAAAACAAAGCCAAATGAAGATGAGTAATTTGAAATGAGAACTTTATTAGAAATGGGTAATATGTAAGTAAATTCTATGCCGTCCATTATGGTGTCTATTTGTATTAACTCACCAGAATAGATAAGAAAGTCAACTCAACATGTTATAAAACGCTCTGCATGTCAATTTATATATTTTTTAATGCCGTTACCGCTCCTCAATGACTTTCTAAAGATTTACGAGCTACGCATTTAAATGTGTAGAAATTATGCACAAATCGCCATATACATATAATAAAAAACACAATTTACTTTATGTCTCGGATTATTCTGATATGCATAATAAACATAATAAAAAAACATACATACGTATATGGTTTTCATATTTTGGGAGTCGCGTCTTGAAAGACAACAACTTGTTGCCGGCAATGCCTCCGAACAATGATCAACAAGTCTCGAATCAGAAATGTTTAATAAGCGCCGGACTTTTTTTTGATGGACTGCTTGAAGGGGGCTTGGGGGGTTCAAAGCATACATAAATAATAAATGGTTATGGCCAAAAGTCTCAAATGTTTCAATGTGTCTGCTATGCCTCTGAATAGCGCTCATCAGCTTGTTAATATTGTCGTCTTCGTTTTATTTCAATCTTGTGCCCAAATTCGTTATTTGTTTGAGCTTTTTTGTCCTCAGGCATTATATGGGTTCAAGCCAATGTTGATGGAGTGTGCTAGACTATGAATACCCTGCATGCCGTTGGCCATTAAATAAATATAATATACATTTTTCTACATTTAATCTGCCCTGCCAACATTTTTTTTTAAAAGGTTATTTTTTTATTTTTTTTTAAATTATGATTAAGTGTAAAGGCAAAGCGTGAAAAAAGTTTTGGGCCTTAGCTTTGGTGGAATGTGTTTTCTTAGAACATGTCGTAGGTTGTTTACCCTTTTTTCCCCTAGGTTTGCAGCGGAAGAGGAGCTTGTCACTTGTACGTATAAGAATGAATACTTTGACATGTGTATGTGTTTACACACATTTGTTGGGCGAACTGCTAATTGGAACGAGGTTCCAAATGACATCATGAGAAAGATATCTGAAAAGAGTGAACAGAACGATCCTATAACCATAGCCAAGTGATCCAACATGTCTTTTCTAACCATCTTTGAGCTGTTTTATGAAATTATGCAAGTATTTGATTTTGGTGCTTGTGCAAAAGTGTAATTAACAAATTATTGATGCATGCTCATACAATGATACAAAATGTACTAAAGTCGTGGCAGGAAAATGAGTGTGATTGTGGATAAGGGCAAGGTTCATGATGCCGCCACAGATGCAAAGGGAGAATGCGGTAATTGTCGTCAATGTGTAGCGGCATGACGCTGTAGGAGGATAATAACAATGTTATTTACAATGCTGAAATGATGATGATTGTGATGACGATCACAAAATATGTTCATGACTTTGCCTCTGGGGCACTCTCCTCTCTCCACACTCCACGACTTGACAAACAGTAGCAAAATTGTTCAACTTCATTTGCTGCCTCATTTTTCGTGTTTACCTTTCATTTTTTTTCTTCTGTTTTCTTGTTTATTATTATTATTTTCTACTTTGTGCATAAGTATTGTAAACATTAAATTTTCTCATGTAAATTCCCACGCATATTCTTTGGCTTTGCTTTTATTGTAAAAATAATCATTTTTTCTTTGTATTTTTCATTTTCTGTGGTTTCTAGACCTGGTCTGGTCAGAGGTAGAGCTCTCGAGTACTGTAAACCAGTAGCCATTCAATCACGGCTTAGTCTCTCCAAGATCCAAGTGCTTTTAATGATATTTCGTATGTCTAGCCATAGTTGAGTTCACAGAGGTTAGTGTTGTGTGCGTTTTTCATGCAATGGTGGAAGGGGAAGGGGAAGGTGAAATGGACATGGAAATGCCCGTTGTTTGATGTGTTATGAAGTTGAAGTACCCGCTGTGCAGGGGCTAGCTGGAATTGTGCCTGTGTGAGTGAGGGAAACATGGTATAATTGTAAAGATGTGTTTTTGTTTTATTTTTATGATCTGTCGTGCATGCATTTCACGTGGGCTGAAAGAAAGTGTTAAGTGATTATTTGGCTGATAAGACCGCAAGTTATGCCTACCTGCTGCATGTAGTAAAAACGTTTTTTAAACATTTTTTTTTAATATTTATTCATTTCCTTTTCCCCCTCCTATTAAAAGAATGCCCGAAGACAAAGTTCAGATTCAGGTCATATGAAACACCGCTGCAAAGCCTCTTACCCAGTTTTTTTTGTTGTTTTTTTTTTTGGTTTTGCCTGGCCAAATAAAATTTGTATATGCAAGTTGACAAGACATGGTTTCTGTATTCGTTTTTTACTGTCTGCATATGTTGTTGTTGTAGTTGTATTTTTGTGGCTTTTGGAGTGGATTGTGGTTTTAGGCAAAGCGTTTATCTCGTCACCTTTGGTATAATGACCACAGATGCTTAAATTGCGTAAATTTATCCGAGGTGTGTACAAAAATTATTTAAAGTTCGCAGTAATCATTAACTTGGAAAGAGGTACAAAGATTCGTAACGATTGTGGAATTATATCAACGGAGTCAGTATACATGATGATGGTATTAATAAAAAATCATATACTATAAACCAAATTGGGAAATTACAAAAATAATATCAACATTTATAATCGATAAGCGCCTTAAGATCAACTATAATCTTTTGTTTGCTAAGTCTTTGTTACTTAAAATATATTTAGCAACTATAAGTGAATGAACTGGATTAATATATTCCATAATTTGGATGTAGCGTGCTAAATATTAATATTTCAAATATTTCATCTACTCTGACCATGCAAACGCAAATTAAAAAATACAGCAAACAATTTGGAAAAATCAATTGCAGAATTGAGAGCAATGGAACATTTTTGGCAATGGAATACAATAATCACTCAAATCGCATGAATGATTCGTTTGAATGAATGAGTGAATGAGCGAGTTAAATAGTGCGCATGATTGCGCATACAAAAACAATGCAAAAAGAAACCATAATCCACAGTGCCTCGCTATTCGAATGACCGTGGCAACGGTGAGACGTGCCCCAAAACAGCAAACAGATACACCCGAAAATATTACGAGTGCGTTTGTGATTATATTTGTAAAAGGTTTCCTCATTTTGCACCCGATTATCATGTTAATTTTTTTTTTGTTGTTTTATTTGTTTTTTTGGCTTGTGGTTTGGGCAAGTTTTTGTTTTTATTGTTGTCATTTTACACATGCCTCGTTGACTTTCAGCGTTTCAATAAAAATAACAATTTGCTAATTTTCAAATCGCATATTGTGTATCTGCCAACAAGATGATGATGTTGATAATCATGTTCTTTGTGGTTGACATAAAGGTGGGCGTGCTTTTAGCTTTACTTGGCTTTTGTGTCTTGAATGGCATTTATTTTTCATTTATATTTATATTCTATGAGTCTTTGCTATGATGCTATCATGACGCATCAAGCCCAACAAGTTTGAG